AGTTATATCAATTTCTAGCTTAGAATGTGTTGAAGATTTTTGTTAATCTTTATAGCAAATTATATATCATTTGTCCAGTTTTTTTATTATTTTCTTTTAGAATAACAATAATTATTGTGCCTATTGTCTCCTTAAAACAGTTGATTGGTACCGTTGGATTCATCCATATMTCAGCCGTTCACGAAATGCTTCTAATYCCTTCCTTGYTATGTAACTAAAYCGCTGAATGTCCAAATCGATTTCAAWGTAATTTGATCCCTGCACTCAGATCACGAAATGATTCTTCTACAGTCTGTTCTTTATTCAGGAGACCRAACAACCCACAATAAATGCCCCAAGCTAAAGTTCTATTMTGTTGCTATTTGTAAATATTATGTTTTGAGTYCCARCAAAAATAATTCCTGAACAACTCAAGCAATAGAAACTCTCACGCATATAGGCCTTCTGCCTTCTTTATCCATAGGTCCTAGGATCAGAACCTGGCTCTGCTTCTGTGTTTCAAGATCATTCAAGAAAGCATAATGTGTGTKACTGAGAAAGAATGTATAAACTATGAAGGACCAAGACAAATACCACTAACACCCATAAGCTATAATCTTCAATGCTTACATAATCTAATCCGTCCTGGTGCAGCTCTTATTCCTGATCAATTGGCTGCCAGGTATTCACTCAAATGAATAAGAAAAAGATGGAATATAGAATATGCACAGTAACTAGGAACGATGCTTATCTACTCTACTTGTCGTTGCTTTGCCTATTTCAATAATCTTTCAGAACTTTTTGTAGGATGTTTGGCTAGGGTAAAGTTTCTATTTTAGGATACTATACTGAGCTGAATTTGATAGTTGGAAATGACAAATTTCTGTATAGTAACTATTATGCTATATCTCGAGTCGGTACTTTTTTAAGGTGTTGATATAATCATCATAGTCGGGTATAGTAGGATATGGGATTAATTCATTCAGTGGTAATGTCCTTGAGCAAATTTYTGTTTGGTCAACATACTATAAAAATCGTCATAAAAACCATCCAACTTAGAAGATTGTGTTGTTTTAGAACAATCTTTGTGGAGCAAATTTCTATTTGGTCACCATGTGGGTTTTTTACATGTTTATGTGGATCTTTGATTAGAAATAGCAACTTATTTGCTTCTTGGACAAAGAATCTTTATCATGTCTAGCAATGGAAGGATGTCAAGGATTGGGTATTGTAAATGATCTTTTTATTTAAAGGTATGAGGGCTGTTAGTACAGAACAGGTATTTCAACTATTTAATGAGCAGGACCTGGTTTGGATTTTTTATGTTCTTCATTATCCATTGTTGATCAATGTTTCAAACAGGTTGGCTTCAAAATATTTTTAGAGGTTGCTGCATCTTTACATATTTGTGGTCCTTCCTTCCCTTATCATTTTGCTATTTTATATAGGGGTTTTACATTAGGGAGATTGAATTCATAAAATTGTGTTTTGAAAGCATGGTTTGTGAATATGGGTTGTAGGAGATGATTTTGAAACTTGGGAATGATAACAATGGAATGCATGTATCCTCTTGTTTAGTTGTAGACATTGTTTCTTTCTAATAATGATGTTTTGATCTTTAAATTCCATTTGTTAATATATGCAATTCTATACTTAACATTAGATGTCTTTCGTCCTTTATTTAATTTAAACCATCAATGGTAAGTTTTTAACCTTTATCTAGGTATAGATGACTGATTATATCCCGATGCATTGCATTGCGCGGGTATACAACTAGTTTTATATATATATATAGAGGAGTGATCATATGAAAACCGCCTT